ACATTGGGTCACCTTGTCTTACTCATTTTATCGCCTGAAACTTAGGTGTTAAACCTCCATTAATTAGTAGGGAATAAGAGACTATGCTTACACACTCCATGGTGAGTTTGACCATTTTATATGGGATACCAAGTTCCATCATAAGGTCCTTCAAGAAGTTCCAGTCAACTGAGTCATATGCCTTTCTGATGTCCACTTTAATTGTGCATCTTGGTGAAACTGCTTTCTGAGTGTACTCTTTGATCATTTCATGTGCTAGTATTACATTATCCAAGATGTTTCTTCCTTCTATAAATGCTGACTATGAAGGCCCCACCAGGTAATCCACAACTATCTTCAACCTAGCTGTAAGAAGCTTGGCAATAATTTTGTACATTGTAGAGCAACATGTAATAGGTCTGAATTCTTTGACATAGTTTGGATTTGCCATCTTAGGTATGAGTGTGACAGTGGTACAGTTGATCTCTCTTAGTAGCTTCCTTGTTTCAAAGAACTGCATTACTACCTGTATGACATCTTCATCAATTACTTGCCAGTATTCTTTGAAAATTTCAGCTGGATATCCATATATTTCTGGAGCTTTATCATTTGGTAATTCTTTCACCACCCTTGTAATCTCCTCTTTTGTTACAGGTACTAGTATTTGCTTCTGCTGTGCCAATGATAAGCAGGGGTCATCCCTGACTATGTTAATATCAATTCCAGGCATCACTGGGGCAGCCTCTCCTAATAACTTCTTAAAGAACTGTGTAAATTCCTGCTGAATCTATATGAGATCAGTCAATCTATCATTTTATTCTGTACAAATAGAGGTAACTCTATTTCTTGCATGTCTAGCCTTAAATTGAGAATGGAAGTATTTAGTATTAGAATCCCCATGCTTAATCCAGATAGCCCTTGACTTCTGTCTTAAGACCCTTTCATATACATCATTCCATTTCTCCATTAGTAACAGAATCTTCTTCTCTTGTTCTATTAGTTGTGGATTCAAATGATCATTATTCAACTTTTGTTGTATAAACTTTAGGTCCTCCTTCATTTGTTTAAGTTTCACCTCCACTGATGAAAATTTTCTCTGTATTCCCCTAGTATGCACCTCCAGTAGTTTCAGTTTCCTACAAATGGAGTACATAGTGTGCCCTTGTATGGTTTGCCCCCATATATATACCACTACTGCCTTATACTCCTCCTGTTGCAATAGGACATTCAGTAATCTGTAGGGCTTCTTTACAGGCATTTTGTGTACTTCAGTGTTTAATGGGATAGGTGTGTGGTCAGAGCATCCAGACACTAGGTATATTGCTTCAACACTTGCATATGACCAAAACCATTCTGCATTCCCAAACGCTCAGTCTATATAACTGTATATACTATCTTCAGCCCCTCTCTTAATACTCCATGAGAATTGCATCCCTTTCTTGTTTATCATACCTACTCCAATGGCAGTTATGCATTGCTTGAAATCAACCACTTCATTTTGGTGAACTAGTACCCCATTTATTCTGTCCTCTACTGACAAGACACTATTAAAATCTCCTATGATCAGCCAAGGACCTTTATTTAATGCATTGATAATCCTCAATTGATCCCAAAGAGGTTTTCTATCAGCTATAGTATGTCATCCATACACAATAGTTAAATAACTCTGAAATTCAGAGTTTCTATCCTGTATATGGCAGTGGATAAATTGTGATGATAGCTGCAACACAACTAGATTTACTACTGATCCTTTCCAGCCAAATTCTACCATTAGGAGCCTCAGAATAGTTATCAAGAAATTTCCAATCTCTACCTATCTTCTTCTGTATACTCCTTGCTCTCCCTTGTTTAACTCTAGTCTCCAAACATCCAACCAAATCGATTTTATTAGTTATTAGGAAATCTTTAAACTCCCTCTGTGTAAAGGACTTGTTTAGTCCTCTAATATTCCATGTGCCGAAAATCATATTAGTGGAATGGTTGTTGGAGTAGGCCCTTTCGTAAGTCCATGTACCTGGTTGTGTTCATTGCCTCCATCTCTATCAGGAGGCTCACTTTCCTGAATCCTTAATGTTGCATATTTGTTTCTTCTTGTCAGCTCCTCATAGTCTATTATTGGTTGATCTTTTGTACCTAATTTACCATGATAAACCATAGCCTGTTTGCCTCTACCTCCAATCTATATTTGAATCTCCTGTGTCTCCTCTTATGAATTCTTCTTCTCATTTGTTTCCTTATCAACAATAATTGATTCATTTTCTTCATTTATAGCAGCCTTAGTCTTCCTCACCCATTTCTGCTTTCTACCCTTATTCATCTGCATTTGGCCCTCTTTTGGTGATTTTCCAGTTTACATTTCCCATTAGAATGACCAAATTGGTAGCACTCTTGACATAGTTTTGTCTTCCATTCATATTCCACAATTTGCACCCTTATCTTACCATCAGGATGCTCTATATTCAGTTCATCTGGTAATGACTGTGTTATATCCATTTCTATCAACACACGAGCATAGGAAATTCTTTTACACTGTGTCATTAGTCTGTCAGTGCAAATAGGTTTTCCCAAACAACTCGCAATTCTTCCCAGATTTTCCTCTGCCCAGCATTGTATAGGTAGACCTGGGAATGTGACCCACAGTGGCATCACACGCTTAGGCTCTTTATCAAACTCGAAATCTAGCTCCCAATTCTTCAACACCATTGGTCTATTGTTGAAAGTATATGGTCCTTTTGCCATAATCTGCATTTTGTCCTCAATTGACTCAAATTTAAAAATGAAATAACCATCATCATGTAATAATACCGTAGTAGTAACTGAATTCCATACCCCATAAGCAAACTTCAACATCTCCTTAAAGGCTGGATTTCCTCCCATGACGTATCCAATGAGTGATGATTCCCATTTTTGGCATTGCAACTCTATTTCTTTATGGTTCAGCTTCACAACTTTAACTTCATCCCTCACCTTTGGCGGATAGAAATTGAGTTGTATCCCTTGCTACACTGTTCAATTGCCTTTGATCACATCTGCCATAGTTCTCTTCTCTTCTCTTCTCCAGATCTAGTTGAATAGGTCAATTTCCCTGCTGCCATAGCCATAGTGTTCTCCGATAATTTTGTAATTTCAGTTTCCTTAGGCGGTGGGGCTTGTATGATTGTCGGTGCACTCCCCATCCCTGGAATCCATTGTAGCAATTGTACCGGAACTAGCTCTTGTATAATTCCTGATTCAGGTGTAACCATTCGATTAGAAGTTTCCTCACTACTGTCCTTCGTCTGCATTTGCTGGGAATTAGGTTTCCGATTAGTTTTCCGGCGAGTCATTGTTGTTGGCGCACATTAGCTATCCTTGCTAAACATGCAACTTTTTTTTTTTTGAATTATTAATTGTGATGATAAGTTAAAGTTTGACTTGGACTCCATAATGACTAGATATCAAAAACAAATATAGATGGACGACTCCACCGGTAAAGAAATTCGAGATCGAATAGAATAGGTTACATACTTGTGCAATTGCTAACTTCCCGAGAAAGTATTAATTGTTACTAATTGTAATCACAATTTAATATTTTTTTCTAGATGAAATAAAATAAAACTGTTACACTGCTTATTAATTGTCATAATTGTAATGACAATTTAATGTTTAGTTCTAAATTGGACTAGAAAAAAACAAATCTATACGGATTTAGTCAAGTCTCCAAATTTGAAATAAAATAAAGAAAATAAAAAAATAGTTAAATTTATTTGCAATTACAATTTTATCTAACATAAATAACACTTGTTGAGACTTGAGGGCAAAAAAGACAAATGATGTTTTGCTAAGGGCCTTCGTGCTTTTAATATAGTACTAGGGGTACGCGCTTTGCGCTTGTACTGTATACCAATAGATATATAATTTTTAAAAATTACGTAAATATTATTAACTAATATTTTAAAGTTATTTAATAAAAATTAAAAAAATAATTTATTTATTTTATCATTTATTATTTGTGATTTTATAATGTTATAGAAAAAATAGATATTTTTGAAATCCTTTCTTACTCGAGCAACAATTTTTTTCTTCGTCGATATTTCACATAATATTTAGTAATTAAAAAATAGTTAATTAAGTACATTCGTCTCTCTTTTAGTAGTAAGAATATATAGAATCCTCCTCTTAGAAGTATAAGTTTAAACATATTTCATATAGAAATTAGCGTATGCAAATATAAGCAAAAGAAAATGTAATTTTATTTCTCCCAAATAATATTTATGTTAAAGCCCTAGACTTTCCACATAATCCAAATAAGAAAGATTTAATAACCAAAATTTTAGTTGATTTTAATATACTAAATATTAGGAAAATAACTAAATTACCATTTTGTCTGATGTAAAATTATTTTTAAAGCGTAAAAAAAGCTAACGACTAAATATTTTTTTGTATACCAAATATTTTTTTTTATATTAGACCTCAAAACATTTCGACTAACCTTTTTATGGTAAAATCATAAAGATCAGATAGTATGATATCCACAAAGAAAAAAAAAAAATTCGAAAAGAAAAACTAAAAAGGAAAAGGGAAGGGCACGAGACGCCTCTATGCCAACTTTCCAGCCCATTATCCCTTCTCTAGCTAGCCGCCTCCTCTCGTTTTCAGTTTTGGAGGCAAAAGATGTCAAGTCTCAGTAGTGGAGGCTAAGACTGAGGAAGCCACCATATATGTCCGGTTCACGCACATAGTTCCTTACTTGTCTCTCTCTTTTTCAAATCCTTTGTCTTGTTGTACTCTTCTCTTTCTCCTTTTCTTCCTTTTTCTTGTCTCTTCTCCTCTTAATCTTTGCTATTAATTAATATGAAAAAATATATCGGGATTAAGTACCTACAGCGCGGGATTTCTAGCACCAAACGACCGAAGGCATTGTCACGACCCAATTTAGGATCATGACCGGTGCTTAGGAGCAAGTGCTTCCAAGTAAGGCTCATCGATAATTTACAGAAAATCGGACAGAATTTTCCCTATTTTAGGACTATCCAAAAAGCTTTCCTGTCTCATAAACAATTAACAACCAACCAATATTCACCTAAATCAACAACAATCTTTATGAACTAACGAACGAGTTTTCACCAACACTACCAACCTTATAAATAAGATAATACTAAGCCCATCTAAAAAAATACAGAAAGAAAGTGCAATACTAGTAACTAGTCCAATTTAACAAATGAATACTCGTGACACTAATAAAAACAACTATAGAGCGACTCTAAGAGTTCAAAAGAAAAGACAATAACAATAAATAAACTCTTCGCCCACGCGAACCAGTGCGGGGCTCACCAGGAACTATCAACTCGTGTACTCTAATTAACGAAATCCTCGCTCGCGTCAACTGCTTTCTCTGTATAAAAAAAAATAGCGGGGAATGAGTCGCTAGCTCAGTGAGAAATAACACTTAACCACAAATGTTTTTGATTGGGGACAAGTCAGAAATACATGCTTGTATAATAAAATTCAGAAATTATCACAAAAATAAAATGCCCTTTCAAAACGGTAAGAATAATCAGTCTCATCATGTGTTTCCTGTAACAGAATTCAATTTAACAATTTGGTAATAAACTCAGTAAGCACTATATCATATCAATTCTTTATGTCTCGGAGGTTTCCAAGAAAGGATCATGTAATCTGTATCACTGTGTGGACCCTTTTGTAAAAGGAGTCAAATATAACGGTAGGTTCCTACTCGAGAGAAAACTGTAAATGTATGCTAGTTCTACCTTCCCACTAGAGAGGGCTATAACCGTAATCGGTAATCTGTAACTATAAGGTGCACCAGGTCTAACGAACCCGCCATTGGCTACGGGATCCTTCAAAGTCTCCTCCCATTAATACTCTTTCTTGTAAATAGTAAATACTCGTATAAAAGCATTTTCAAAATAATAAAGGGCATTCCTTATCAAATCTTGTAATTTTATTTCGGTAACAGTCATCATGTCTCAAGTAACAGTAAAACATGTCTAGTAATAGTGAGAATAATTCAAATAACTGTAACATCTCAAGTAACGGTAAAACATATCTAGTAACGGTGAAAATATTTAGATTATTCGGTAAACATCTCAAGTAAACTGTTCGATATCATATCAAGTAAAGGACTTGTCCCACATGCAATTTTAAAGCATCGGTAATACGTTTATTTTCAACATCATATATAAACCATGCAAGTTATCAAAACACAAATTGTGATAAAATTACTACTCACAGTACTCACTTCGAAATACCAAGCGTGCCAACTCGTGCAGTCCATACGACTTCCTCGATCAATCTATATTATCACAAACACGAGTCTAAGTGTCAACTTCGCGAAGTACCAAATTCCTCGTGGTTCCATTCGTAATAAGCTTAGTTAGGCTACCTGTGAAATTATCAAATACTTCTTTGTAATTCTTTCTTCCTAGTTCATGAAACGTTCATCAATTAATCATTTTTATGATAATAAAATAATTCATGTTTAATGATATTCATTATAATTAAATACCAACATTAATCCTAGTATCACAATTTGACTCAAGTCAATGATTATCTATATAATATTACTAGTTATAAGTAAAATTAAGAATACAATGTTACCTCTTTCTTTTATTCACTGTGTGAATTTTGTTTCTGCGTATACCTACACTGAATCAAGATGAAATTCCTCTTCTTGTTCCCTTGTAAAACTTTATGCCAGAAGACTTCATTCCCTCTTTAATTTCCTTGTAATGCTTTCTGCATATGATGGTAAATATTTCTTTTGCAGAGGCTTCGTGGCTCCTTCTAGGTTTTCGTTGTTTCAGATTCTTTATATTTGGAGTAAAGTTCTCCACTACCCTAGTTCATGTTTTTATCCGTACTGATGATCATTATTAGTTTTATGAAATGACCAATATGTCCTCATTTAAATGACCAATATGTCCTCATGTTTCTTGTCTTCTCCTCTTAATCTTTGCTACTCCCTCCGTTCTAATTTATGTGAACCTGTTTGACTGGGTACGGAGTTTAAGTAAAAAATGAAGACTTTTGGAATTTGTGGTCCTGAACAAGTCCAAATGGGGCCCAGAGTATTTGTGTGGTTATAAAAGCTTCTCATTAAGGGTAAAGTTGTAACTTAGCTAAATTGTTACCAAATTTAAAAAGGGTTCATTCTTTTTGGAACAGACCAAAAAGGAAATAGGTTCACATAAACTGGAACAGAGGGAGTATTAATTAATATGGAAAAAGAAATCGTGATTAAGTACCTACAGCGCGGGATTTCTAGCACCAAACGACCGAAGGCATATTGTTTAATTGAGAAGTATATGTGCTTCTATATAATAGAACTTAAGATTAAAACTTTTTCTTATTTTCTACAGCTTTTTTCATATAAGTTGGTCATAAATTGGTGACTTTGGCATAGGTTATCTATAATATAGGAGTCGTAGTTATTATTTTTACTAGTCTTTATAGTCATGTGTTGTACACATATCAAGTAATGTTGGATTTGAAATAAAATACCATATGTAGTGTTGGATTGGGGTTTTAAATTCTTTTGAATCGTAATACGTTGTTAGTATCGGATGCCAAACTCAAAATATTTTAAGGAAAACAAAATTAGTTTGACTTGTGTTTTTCCTTGGAATTGAAAACAAAAACTAATAGTAGTTTTTCTAAAATTCGGTAAACTAGATTATTAAGTTAATAAAATTAAGATAGTTGGAATATAGACAATGAAAATTAAACATTCTTTTTCCCAAGATATACTAATTTTGAATGATTGAATGCCCCCAAAAAAAAAAAAAAAAAAAAAAAAAAAAAAAAAAAAAAAAAAACCGAAGATGCACTTTTTAGGCAAAACCGCTCGTGGGAATACCTCTCTCACTTTCTCTTCTTCCTCAAAATGATTTTGATGCCTTCATCCGCTACCATATATCTTTCTTTAAGTATCTGCTAAAACTCGCAAAATCACATGTACTATCAACCTAGCAATCTGTATAGGATAAAATTAGCAGATGATGGTGAATGTTCGTCAAGTGAACACATGGCAGTAAAGACCGTAGCGGATCCACTCTTTAAGGTGGGGGTGATATGACACCCCTATGTTGGTAAAATTATTATATATTTATGTAGAAATTTTTTTAAATTAGGTTAAATATTTGATCCCGCCACCCCCATTGCAGACTAAACAAATGTGCCATGGCTAGTAGACCTTTTTAAAAGCTTTAATTTCTTGTGTGCAAAATTCAAGTTCAAATTTATCTTGAACCTTATCTCACTTTCCCTTTTCGTTGTGCTTTTTATTTCCTTTGTCCCAGTTATTTTTCTTTTTGGCTGCCTCCTAATTTCCTATTTTTCGTTCATTATTTTTTATAGTTTTCCCTGTATTCTATTATTTTATCTGTGATCTTTAACAAGAACACTCAAAAAAGAACCTCCAAAATTTAAAATTTCATAAAATAAGCATCTCTCTTAATCTCAAATCATTTAAGTTTTTCCTTTCAAAATCAAAAACTTGGGTCTTGATAGGAATTTTGGATTGAGATCAAATTTAATTTTTATATTTTTAATTATAACATAAAAAATCATGTTATTCTATAATTGTTAAATACAACTTAAATCTCTTTACTATTAAATTATGACGACTATGTTGCAAGGATTGCCTAGAAAAATATGAGATTTATCATTTTAAATTTTGGGATCTTGTAGTTTAGCTTATTCTGCATTTATTGGAGATATATATTTTTTATTTTTCTTATTCTGATTGGTGAAATTCTCTTTTGAAGATGCTATTTTACTTGTGCAAATTTATTTTTAGCACATTAAAAAGATGTAGTTCCCAAGTGAAAATATTAATTGTACTTGAATTGTTAATAGTAAAGGTGTGATTCTTTTTTTAAAATGCTAACTACATTTGCTTCTTGACGTTTGAGATGTAATTTTCATATAACAACAAAATAGCTAGTGAAATCTCATAAGTAGAGTAGGAGATAGAGATGTAATTTTCATATTTTCAAATAAAAAAATGCCTATTAAATTACCCAAATAAACCAAAAAATGAGCCGAACAAGCTCTATATTAATTATTACAAAGTGTACATTAAAAAGAATTATGGTGGCACCTGCCACCTTCAAATCCTAGATCCGCCTCTGAGTAAAGACACGTAGGAAATGAGTCAACAAATAACTGATACCGTATCTATGCATGTGGCCGATGTCGTATGAGTCCCGATGTCATCAAGACCGAAAGAAGAATTTGAAAGCAAGATACCGGTTGAATAATGCAACATTAAAGGAGTAGCCATTATAGAGAATCTTAGTATTTACACTCAAAAGTTATGCGACTATCAAGATGGGTCTTTATTCACTTTAAAAAGGAGCTTGATTTTGGGATCTTATCTCCCCTAACTTATCTATAAATAGATAAAATTGTATTCATGACAGGACACGAAATACTAGTACGAAAAAAGGTTAATATTACTTTATGTAAACATCATTTTGTTAAGCTCTTTGTTCTTGATATTATTCGAAGAAGTTCAATTCAAGGCTCGTAATTTTTTCAATTATTCTTAATTTATTTACTTTTGATCTTTATTACATTATATATGTGGATCAATTTAATTCACGTATCTATAAACCATGTTACAAATTCAATTGTACCGTTTTACTGCTAAACAGTTTGGTGCCCACTGTGGGGCATATACATTATGGTCACTTTGATCCATTCATATTTTACTAATGTATTTTGACGCTTTTCTTTAGTAATGCAAAAACAGATATGGCACCTAATGATTTCAATAACTCACTCAATATTGGGACAAGTAATAAGCACGAGGATAATTCTGTGGTGAAGCTCAACATAATGATTCGATCAATGAAACTCACATTGATGGAAATGAGACGACTCCAGTCCGGGAAGAACACAATACTCGGTGTGCAAGGATTCTTACCCTTAATGATATGCATGATAAACCAGTTGTCGAGACGGTGAAAGTTTTGAGAGCATAGCAAAGGAAAATCATGAATCATCTCTCAAGATAGGACTAGATAATGACTGAACTCCAGCAAGCGCTATCGGTTACCTCAAATAATTCTAATGGAAGAGTTCGAGCCCCTCCCAGTGTACCTGCAAATTAGACAACACAAATAATTGGTAACATCTTTTCAAGGGACAGGTTCAGATCTAATGATAATCATGCAGGTGGTGCAGGCAGTGGATCGAGAATGATAACAACACAGATGATCCTCTTAAAACCGAGCTCATGAGGTCCATGGGGTAAATGAATGGCCGGATGGATCAATACGCTAAAGAGTTCCACGCTCGGATGGGTCAGATTCTTGGAGCACCTCCGACATTGAAGGTTCTAGATTCAAAGAAGTATACTCAATTACCGTTCACACTAAGTGCGGCCCCGGAGTTAATTCCACAGAGGTTCAAGATGTCGGATATTCTAAAATACGATGGAACTTCGGATCCACAGGAACAGATCATAACCTACATTATGGCTGTAAAGAAAAATATTTTGGCCCGCATAAGATCGAATATGTTTTGCTAAAAAAAATTGGCAGAACCCTAACAAAGGGAGCTCTAACTTGGTATTCACTCTTTCTAGAATATTAAATTGATTCTTTTGAAATGCTCGTATATTCTTTCATCAAAGCTCATACTGGATCAAGGAAAGTCCAAGCTAAGAATGATAGATATATTTAAAAGCTCTAGATGAGAATTGGAGTTGCTGTGAGAGTTTATGATCCGGAAGGAGAGGATGTTGTTTCTGGCAGGATCAAATGAATGGGTAGTAGAGGCTTTCACCAAAAGCCTCAATCCTTTAAGCTCCGATGCCTCGAGGAAGTTGAAAGAGAGCGAATTAGAATTTCAGGCAACCTCATGGGTTGATGTCCATAATCGTTATGAATTAAAGATTAGGATCAAAGATGATCAATTGAGTTCTTCGATATCATCAAAAGGTCGTAATCGCGATCCGAATCAAGAAAAGTTAAAAAATGATTTTGATGCAGACTAGATCCTCCAAGAATCATTTCCAACCTTATTTGCCAAACGAAAGGTCTGATGGGCGTGGAGCTAAGAGTTTTCAGTTGTCAGAAAGGTTTAGACTGGGCAGAAGGACTGATCGTGGTCGGAATAACATGGCTTTGCTGGATAAAGAGTTCTCAAGATTTCAACATTCAGGATATACTCGGTTGTTGGATTATAATTTCAATATCAATTTGGTAGAGTTGGTTTTAACTATGAGAAACATCAAGGAAGCAAGGTTCCTAAAGCCAATTTGATCAGACCCCATTAAAAGAGATCTTAATCCCTGGTGCGAGTTCCATGGTACACATGGTCATAGGAATGGGAAATGCCGACACTTTCGTGATGAGGTAGCGATGTTGTTAAAAAACGATCACCTTAAAGAATTCTGAGTGACCGGGCTAAAAATAACCACAGGGTCTCCCCGCCTAACAATTAACATGGTTCTTTGTGAGGTTTAAGTAAATGGGGTGATATTTTTTGTAGCTAAAAAGATAAAGATATTAGTCACTCATGTTAAGAGAATCCAAGAAGCATCAGAAGATGATGAAATCACCTTCATGGAGGAAGATGGGACAACCTTATTTTACTATAGATTGATGCTTTGGTAATATCTCTAAATGTTTTAAATTTTAGAATCAAACGTGTGTTGGTTGATCTAGGAAGTTCAGCTAATATCATCTAACTGAGTGTTTGGGAACAAGCAAAGCTGATCAGAAACATAGTTCCGATGATAAATCTTTTGGCCGGGTTCAACTTAACAAGAGCAACGACCCGAGGAGAGATCG